GGTCGTCCCACGTGCGCGCTGTCCACCCAACATCCTCCCCTCGCGCACCGCTCGTCTCCTCCGCAATGTAAACGCCCGAGGCCTTAGCCTCCAAGCTTCGTGCGTGTCGCTTCCTCGCACACACCTTGCGCCATTCGACCACGTCGCTCAAGCCTTCAAGCCTCAAACTCTCAAGCTTCTTGCTCGACCTCCTATGCCATTGTGCATGTCGGCACCCTCGTATACGTGCTCGTGCACATCTCCTAGGCCATGCAAGCCTTGTTCCGGCCCTTTGCTTGGCCTTCTCGGATAGTATCGGCCTTCGGACCTTCTCATCTTCGGGGGTCAGAACCCACTTCCGTATCATTCCCGCCCCCTTTAAGAATGTCCTTGTCCTCAAGGACTTGTCATCGACCATTAATTGGGGCGTCCTCACCTCGTGCACTACGTGCGCAATTTGTTCCTCAACCAGTGAAACTTCTAGCACACCTTCTTCATTCTCAAGCCAAATCTCCTCCTTTACTCCAATCACTTCGGCTTCCTTGGACTCGCCCAAAACTCTTTCGACCTCAACAAAGTGTTCATCAGGGTATACATCGAAAATAGGCGGTCCTTCATAATCCGTCGACTCCTTCGCGTACTCGATGGGCCTTACATCCTTAAAATATTTCAAGAATTCAAATGGGAAGATAGGCTCCTTACACTTTCCTTCGACTCGTCCTTGTTCTTTGTCGGACTTGCTTAGTATACGGTCGGTTGCTCTAACCAACTCGCGTGTCTCGGGTTGCTGCAGCTCGATCGTCCAATCCTCTTGCACCTCGCCTTCGACCTCGGTTTCTTTGATCTCAGCTTCCTCGACTACTTCGTCGTCCATGAGTTCATCCTCGGGGTACACGTCGAAGATAGGTGGGCCATCATATTCCGTCGAGACATGCTCGACCATGCTCGCGTATGCGCCTACTTCCTCGACGGTAAAAATCTGACCGCCCCCATGCCAAACCCGCTCAATACTCTTGAGACCAAACTCCTTGGCTCTGCTATCTTTGCTTGCTTTTAACGTGACCCGGTGCTCTCTTGAGTCGAACTCCATGACTCCCATCCGGTAGTCGGCGGTCACCTTTCCTAATCCCTCGAGCCATTGTACTCCTAGCACAACGTCAGGTCCAACCAAGGGTAGCGCATAGAGATCGGCTTTGATGGTGACTCCTTGAAATTTGATCGGTACCGCACGATAAGCCTCCGAGCACTTTAGCTGTTCTCCATTGGCTACTCAGACCTCAAATGGTTCGACCTTCGTCGTTGGCAACTTCAACTTTCGAGATAGATCGGCGTTGATGAAGTTGTGCGACGATCTGTTGTCTACTAGCACGACTACACGATGGTCCTTGACAAACACCGGCAGCCGCATCGTCGTCGGTCCTCTTGTACCAGCCATTGCATGCATTGAGATTTCGGCCTCTTCTTCGGGAACCCCAATCTCGACTTCTTGCTCCCAATCCTTCTCGACCTCGGGCTCTTCCTCATTCCGGTCAATAACGTGGATGACAAAAGCCTGCTTGCATTGATGACCAGGCGTAAATCTTTCTTTGCATTTAAAACATAGCCCTTTCTCACGTCGACGTCTTATCTCCTCGAGCGTTAAGTGCTTGACTGGCGGTCATGTGATATTAGTCGGTCGAGAGTTGTCAGGTGGTCGGCCGCTCGGAACCATATCGCTTGCATCCGGTTGTGCACGTCGTGTTTCAGGATAGCGTACGTCTGCCCGTCCCCTTCGAGTTGCCACAAGATGATCTTCTCGGCGTCGGGCCACTTCCATGGCCGCATGCATGGATTCCGGTTGCTCTAAGCGAACCTCCGCGGCTAGATCATACTTCAGCCCACCAATAAAGGTTCCAACCAACGCAGTCTCGGGCCAGCCTCGTACGCGACATGCCAATCGCTCGAACTCCTTAAGATAGTCGCGTAAGATGCCGGTCTGTCGTATGCGGGATAGCGCCTCATGGTAATTGTGGTAATCGGATGAGTCGAAGCGCGTGAGTAACTCGCGCTCGAAGTCGTTCCACCTGATGACTTGTCGTCGGCCACGGTAGACGCTTGTAAGCAACTGCCACCACACGTTGGCTTCTCCATCAAGATAGTAAGCAGCGTATTTTACCCGATTGTTTCTTTCGATCTCATTCAGCTCGAAATATTGGGCAGCCCGGTTGAGCCATGCATCGGGATCTGCACCGGTGATGTTGGATAACACGAGCTTTGGATTTTCTGGCTTCGGTCGGTCGTGGTGGTTAGACGCCTGGGACCGTCGGTGGAAGTCGTCTTCCCGCTCGTACTCCTCGCGCCGTCGCTCGCGGTCCACGTCTCGCTCTCGCTCATCATGTCGCTGTTCCTCTTCGTGTCGCTCACGATCGTGGCGTTGTTCGAGCTCTCGATCCTCGCACCGCCGTTCGTGGTAATCACCATGCTCGCGCTCGCGTCGTCCTTCATGTTCGGGCCGATCGCGATTAGGCCGTCGGGGCGGTGATTGGCGCGCCAACATTTTGCGTGCCATCTCATCGAAACGACGGTTCATGATCTCCATCAATTCACGAATGGACGCCTTTGTCGTATCGAGACCCTCGCCTAGTGTATTCATAGCCTCGCTTGTAATATCCCGATATTTTATCGGTATAAATTACGTTTTAGTTCCGATATAAAAACGTTATCGTTTATTATTTTCGGAATTAATTAAGTTCAGTCGAGATTACCGAAAT